AAGTAGGTGGAGTATGTTGCCCTTCCCCTTTCTAATTTGGAGAACAATTCTGACCATTGTCTTGGTCTCAGTTGGGAACCTGCTTCCTTAGTCACATGACTTGTACCTTGCGTTCTGTTGTTATCATATTCCATGTGACTATTTTGTAACATATGTTCTGTTTGTTTTAGTTGTTCTGGCAGTTCCTGATGTGTTTCTTCACAAACTGTCATGTCTTTTACTTTTTCTTTGGTTTTCTCTTGGTCTTGACTTTTGGTCAGAGGTTCCTTATCAACATAGTTTTTATTAAAACCTACTGTTTTGTTTGCATTTGTTGAGGTATCTAGGATGGATTTTTCCAAACTTCTAGCCTTATTTGGCAGCTCTGCTTCTTGGTTTTGGTTTCCTTCTTTGAAGAAGGAAACTTTGATTTTTTTGTTTTTTTCTGTTCTGCCTGTTAAAGAGCCAGACATAACTATACAGACTTGTTTTCTTTTATTCGGCACAAGAGTTTTAGCTCTTGTGGTATAGTTTTTTCTAAAGTTTAATCACTTGATTATTGTTGTATATGTTATTTTGCCCTCTACCAAAAATTGGAGTGAAGAGAGAGAAAGAGTTTTTTTATTATCTTACAATTTTGTTTTTTGGCTCTTCTGTTATTCTACTCTGCCTGAAAATAATTTCTCTGTCTTTTTTTCTTTGTCTAGAATTCATTACTATGAGCTTTGACTTATCTCCATTTATTTCAATATTATTGGCTTTGAAAAACTCTTCTGCAATTCTAAGAATTTTCAACAATTGTTCCTTGCTGTTTGTGATCCATGTTGTGTCGTCTGCATATGTGATTGCTGCTTGTCTATATTTTGTAATACAATTGATAGCTGTACCTTTTAATACTTCTTGCTCTATTATGTAGCCTAGCGATTTGTTCTCTTGAATCTTTTCTAGTAAAGGATCATAAAAAAGTCACCAAATCAGTGAAGAAATCACCTCTTCTTGGTCTATTCTATCTCCTGCCATTATTTTTTCTGTTAAACCATAAGCTGTAATCACCTTAAGTTGATATTTATAAAAGAGGTTAATAATGTAATTCGTTGTTTTTTGTGGTATCTTGACTCTTTTTAGTGCTCACTCTAAGCTTTCTAGATGGACTGAATCAAATGCCTTCTTCATGTCTTGCAAGAGTATCCATATTTCTTTGTTCTTCTCTTGTGCTTCTTCCATTATCATATTTAGCAAGTGTATTGGCTGCTCTGTTGAGTTGCCAGGCAAACCTGCATAGTTTGGCCCTTTAAGTATTTCTTTTTCTGTAAATATCTTGGCTAGCCTTTTTGTTAGCACCTTCGTAACTAGCTTTCTAAAGATCTTAATTAGTGCTATTGGTCTAATTTTGTTCAAGTTATATTTCTAGTCATCATCTTTTGGGATTGGATAGACTTGTGCAATTTTCTATTTTATTGGTAGTTCTTCTTTTTCTAAGACCAAATTTGCAAAAGCTCTGAAAATCTTTTGTGATTTCTTCTCTGCTCATTTTATTAGTATATAGCTTATGCCTGATATTTCTGGAGTTGTGTTGTGCTTAAGTTCTCTTATTGTGTCCTCCCACTCTTCTTTTTCAATCTTCTCTTCTAGTTTACTATACCAAGACTCATCAATCCATTCTTTTGGATTGTAATTTGGTTTTTGTTTTCTGAATTGGTTTTCAAAGTGGATTGCCTGACCATTTAGGACTTCTTTAGGTTCTGTTGTAAGTCTGACATCTTCTCCATCTTGGACTACAAATCTGTCTAGAGTTATCTTCTTGTATGGTTTGTTTAATAGGCTAGCTATTATTTGTCCTTGATTTGATTTAATCATTTTGCATCTTTTATTTATATTTTCTTCTATCTGCTTTCTTTGATTTTGTTCCTATTCCTCTTTTCTTCTGTCATTGAGAATCCTTTGCCAGCCTTTTAAATCATCTATTCAGGCTTCTGACCATTGCTTTTGTAGCTTTGATAACTTTGCTCCTACTTCTTTGGCTATGTTTTTGAGTCTAGTATTTATTTTTTCTTTTTCTTCTTTCTCTACCTCTTGGCCTCTTTTAAGTTTTGCTTTTTTGATTATTTGTTGTAGTTCAATTGCTTGTCTGTGTTGCTGTAGTTTTTTCTGGTGTTGTCTTTTGTTTGTTTTTGTATTGAATATCTTCTTTCTTGGAATTTGTTTATTTGCTGCTTTTATTATAGCTTCTTCTATTGCATTCCACATACAGTTAATCACCTTCATGCTAGAGCTACTGTTCACATTATTATCTTCTAGCTGCTTCAGCACTTTTTTTCTAATTGAACTTGAAGCTCTCTTGTGTATTCTTCCCAATCCTCTTGTTTAGCTTCCTTATATAATTATATTGTTCTCATTTGTTCTTTTCGTTTAACTTCTGCACTGCTATGGTTTGCTATTATATGCTCCAACTATGTAACTATTGTCAGTATCTCATAGTCACTGTCTGTTATACCTTCTGCTTCTTCTATATTGGCTTCTTGAAGGCCTGCTGCGATTAACTCTAACAACCAGATGTAATCAATTCTTGTTGCTGCTTCTTAGTTGGACCATGTATATGCTTTCTTTGTTGGATGCAGCTTTCTATATGAGTCTGTAAACTCCTGTCTTTTAAGCCATTTAAAGATTGGCAGCTTCTTATAGTTTGTCAGTTGTAGATGTTGTTTATCCAATATGTTATCATCTGTATGATTGAAATCTCCAAGTATGATCACTTCTGTGTTCTTTTTCTTGTTTGTTACT